AGTACAGTGTTCTTCATATCTGCCTTCTTACTTGAATGGTGTAATAGGTATGACAGATTAATGTCTTTCATCTTTCAATATGACTATGAGGTTTTTCATAAATTTGACCCCAAAGAAATGGGAATTCCTCAGGAATCTCATGCTGGCTTAAGTAAAGTGTGCCAGCAAGATTATGAACTTTAATCTAGGAAAACTTAATTTATTAACTTATAGAATGAAAAAGCAGCCAAGACAATGAAGGGTCAATGGTGAGCAGGACCACCACAATTTGCACATTAACAATTTAGATGTGCATATCCTTTATTCTATATTTAGTTTTTTCTTCAAACACCAATGTAAATGATTACACAACTTTATTCATGGCCAAATTATATTTAGAATGTATCAGTAGAAATGCAAGGATGTTCTCACATCCAAATTGCTTCATTTTTACTTCTGGTTTTATTTTTATTTATTCTATGCGTCTTTCTATATTTAAATTTAAGCTCACTTTAGGACCCTAATGGTGGATTTTGGTGAATTCCTAGGTTTCTTTGTCCCTCTTCTCAATGTAGTCATGGTGAATACATATTCCTTTTCTGACATCCACTTTTGAAATGACTTTTTTAATTGCCTTTTTGAGAATGGGTAGCAAAAGTTGACTTTGGGTACCAGTTGTTAACTCCAAACTCTATAGAAAAATAGCACTATAGGATTGGGCTGTGTTTTGAATTATAGGGCTAGAGATATGACTTAATGGTTAAGAGAATTGGTTGCTCTTCCAGAGGACCCAGATTCAGTTCCCAGCATCCACATAGATGCCAACAACCATCTGTAATTCTAGAGGATCTGATGTCATTCTCTGGCTATCTTGGGTATGTCTACACTTGTATGGAAGTGTGCTGGGGTCACAGAGAGATAGAAAAGGAAAGATAAACAAGAGATGACTTTACTACATATCAAAGTCATTCTGTAGTCCAAGTTGGACTTAAATTTATGGTCCTCCTGCCTCAGTCTCCTGAGTGTTGGGATTATAGGTTATGCTCCATCATGTGTAGCTTGGTCTTATCTCTTAACAGCATTAAAATGGAAGTTAAATTTTAACATGAGCTATGGAGCGGATATTCAAAACAGCAATTATTTCAAAGTATAAGAAATATGCTTCAAAGCTAACAATTTGTTGAGTACTGGTAAGAAGCCCTTTTCATGAGTCATCAAATTTGGTTTTCATGCCATTCCTATATAACAAGCAGTGCTTTCCAAATTTAAGATATGAAAACCAAATAATTGAGATAATATCTGTCTTAGTCTTAGTCCAAATTTGCGGAGTCAAAAAAATCCCTGTTAAAATCCAGAGCAGGCTGCTGCCCAGGTTTCAATACCTTCTGTAGCCCCTCTCCTCTCCCACTCCTCCAAGATATTACAGGTGCTATGTTTGTGATTTTCTAGGTAGCAAACATCCTGGTACCTGATTTATCACTTAGGGAAGTGAGTTTATAGGGTCAGATACACTGCAAATACCCAACTCCTTCCCCTGCCACCTGCTGGGGAATCACAGAGCCTGGCTTCAGGCCTTCTCCCTTCTTCAGAGACCTATAAAAAAGGACCCCTGTAACCAAAATCTTTTCTTTGTCCTGCTCAGTCCCTCTGGACCAGTTTCTCTGCTGTCTGTCGGTCCCCACAGCTACTTATAAAATAACCACTCAGAAGATTAATACTAATTACAAACTGTTTGGTCTATTAGCTTATTATCAACTAGCTCTTACAACTTAAACTGACCCATTTCTATTAATTTATTTATTGCCACATGACCATGGCATTACCTTACATCTTGCTTCTCCAGCAGCTGCTTGCACCTTCTGATTCCATCTTGTTTTTGCCTGTATGTCTTCTTGGATTTCACATCTAGTTATGTTCTGCCCTGTCATAAGCCAAAGTAGCTTGATTCATTAATCACTACAGCCACTAAAAGCAACACACAATCATAGTGTACAGAATGGCACCCCACATCAAACCCCCACTACCTTCTGGTGGCCTAGTTCTCATTCAGATACTTGCTAGACTACTGTGTGAATGTCTGCCTATGGCAGACCTTTCTAACATAATTTGTACCCTAAATAATTTATCCTACTGTGCCCTTTGAGCTCCAAACCCAAGGTTTTCTAATACTGGATCAGATAAGTTTAAAACAATGTAAAATGATTTCATGCAGTTCTGATGACTGAGTGCTAGAAGGTGTAGTAGTGTCTGGTGAGTAATGCTCCATGCTTGTAAGATGGCACCTTGTGGTCCCGTCCTCACATGGTAGAAGGCTAAAGGGCAAAAGTGCCAAGATGTTTCCTTCCAACCATCCATGAAGCTAGAACCATTCTGAATGAATCACTTCCTAAATCATCTCAGTTTTTAGTTCCTGAGATTAGACATTAAGTCTCAACATGAATTGGGGGTGGGGGGACCGTGCAAACATTCAGTTAATGGCAATATCCAAGGACACATAGCTATACTTTGATAGAGCCAGGATTAAAATCTACATCATTTCCCCACAAGATCCACATTCTTACTCTGTAGGATACTGAACCCTAGAAAACAAAACAAAAGGCATGCTTCTGACTGTTCCAAGAACAGAGTCTGGGATGATATGAAGTTCCTCATATCATCCTCATATTAGAATAGAAGGAAAAATGAGAGTATTGTGTAGAAATCATCTGGTTGTTCTTCACAGTGAGATGTAGAAGCTGGGGCCCTGAGATTGCAGGTACTTGACTGTGGTCACATACTCCCTAAAGACAACTCTCAAATGAAGGCCTGCTGAAGCTTAGCTTTATGCCTTCCAACCACTAGGCCAGGGATGCCCTGCCCTTAAAATAACTTGAGGCATAGACTCTTACCACAGATGCTTAATAACTGCAAATTCATAGCTAAGTTAGTGAATTTTAGTCTCTAAAGGCTTGGCACTCTGAATCCTGCATTTCAAGTACATTTGATAGTCATCTCACCAAGGGGATTATAATATGAATGATGGAACACAAGGAAACTGAGCCTAGCCACACAACTTAAATTTAGTATATGGTTCTCAGTGGAAGCCTTTGTGGACTTGTAAGGTACCTGTGTGTGTGTGTGTGTGTGTGTGTGTGTGTGTGTGTGTGTGTGTGTGTGTGTGTGTGTGTGAGAGAGAGAGAGAGAGTCAGAAGGAAGGGTAGGGAGGAAGTAACACAGTGTGTGAGATAAATGACTGTAGCTCACCATTAAATAAATCATTCTGAATAAAGAGTTTCTATCTACTGGATCAGAGAAGATGAAAACTAGTGTAACTGTTAACTGAGTGAGTATTGCATGCCAAAAAGGAGGTGTACTGTACAGATTCTCTGACTTGACAGGTCTGCTAGGCACATGCACAGAAATGGAGAAGCATGACCTAACTTCACAGAAAACTTAAAATAAATTCACAAAGAACTTCAAAAGGACATTTGTTGTACTTACATAAGATACAACTGTTAGTTAGAAAAATGACTCAGGAGGTAAGAGCACTGACTGCTCTGTCAGAGGACTTCAGTTTGGTTCTCACTATCCACATCAAGTGGTTCACAACTGTCTGTAGATTCAGTGCCCTCCTCTGGCATTGGGCACACATGCACATACCTGGTACTCAGATGTAGATGTACATGCAGAGAAAACACTCATACATATAAAATTAACTTAAATTAAAAAATTTAAAGTATTGCAATTTTGTAGAATTGAAAAAAGTTATAATTAGGAAAATAGATTTAAGTGTTTGTCTTACCTATATATATTTGCATATTCAATGGAGAAAAGATTTGAACACTTATATTACCTCAAATTATGCTAGTATTTATTGTTTATTGAAAATGACATGTAACTGTACCATTTATACCCCAAATTAGATAGCATTTCCATCCGATATGTTTTAGGAATTTTCTTTCTTTTTTATAATATTTTTTATTTAACTTTTTACACATGTTACTCCCAGTTATCTCTCCCTCCCCTCCTTTCCCGAACCTCAGTCTCCCCAACACCCCACGCTACTCCATTCCCCCTCTGCTCCCCAGGGAGGGTAGAGGCTTCCATTAGGGATTTTCAGAGTCTGTCATATCATGCTGGGGAGGGCCTATGTCCTTTCCCATGTGTCCAGGCTGAGAGAGCATCCCTCCGTGTGGAATAGTCTCCCAGAGTCTATTTGTGTGCCAGGAATAAATACCGATCTACTCTCCAAGGTCCCATAGATTGCTGAGGCCTCTTCTTAGACACCCTTTTTTTTACAAAAGTACAAACAAAGGCGGAACAAAAACAAAATACAAAACAAATTAATAAATTACCTTGAGGCATCTGAATTGCTTCTTTATAAATGAATATTCTTCAAAACCTCAGTAATTCTTGTCCCTGTTGCTTTTCACAAGGTGATTGAACAAGAAAGTTCCCTCAGCATCTTATATCGACCTCCTAATCTTCATAATTGCAAGTAAAAAATAAAAACATAACACAAACAAACATAAGACAGGATCTAATTATTTAGTCCAAGCTGTCCTTGAACTTACTGTGAAGCTGACCTTAAACTCAAAACAATCATCCCACTTCATACTCATGAGTACTGAGATTACAGGTTTGAGTTGGCACATCAGGTTTACGGATTCCTTTCATAATTAAAGCTGGTAAGAGGCACTGCAGTTCTCGCGGGTTCCTCAGAGTCAGGTCTATCTGAAGCCGGCTAACAGAAGCTGGGAAAGCAGGAGGTCTGAGGCTAAGCGTCCAAACGGGTGCTACCTTCGTGGCCACCTACAAGCCGCATTTCTTTGCTTTTGTTGACTCAGTCTTGAAGTGAGTCGTAGACGAGCTGCTTTCAGCGTCAACCTGGAAAAGGTAGCTTGCTTGTGTAACGCCGAGTGGGGGCAAGGTGGCACTTTCTCGTATGTATATGGTTGCTTCTCCTGAGAGCAGTCCTGGCTTCTAAGACTGCCATCCACATAACTGTGGAAGAAGAGCTGACAGTCTGTCTGCATCCTAACAACCCTGGACAGAGCCCAGCATGTCTCAGGCCACCAAGAGAAAGCATGTGGTGCAGGAGGTATTGGGAGAGCACATGGTGCCCTCCGATCAACAGCAGATAGTGAAGGTCCTCAGGACACCCGGGAACAATCTGCTGATAGAGACAGCACAAGGGCAATGCTTCCTAGTGAGCATGCCCTCCAAATACCGCAAGAACATATGGATCAAAAGAGGGGCCTTCCTCATTGTTGACCCTATTGAAGAGGGAGAAAAAGTGAAGGCTGAGATTTCTTTTGTGCTCTGCAAGAACCATGTCCGTTCTCTGCAGAAGGAGGGGCACTGGCCTGAGTCCTTCTCTGAGGTAGCTGAGAAACAAAACAATATGAACAGACAGAGTCAGCCAGAACTCCCCTCTGAACCACAGCTGTCAGGAGATGAGTCAGGTTCTGAAGATGACTCTGACCTCTTTGTCAACACCAATCACAGACAATATCATGAGAGTGAGGAGGAGAGTGAAGAGGAGGAAGAGAAGGAGGAGGAGGAGGCAGCCTGAGCCCGATGGAGCCACTTCTCTACTTGCTCAGGGACTGCCACTTGGCTTTTCTGGGCTTGGACATTCCCAAGGTGCCCTGCAGATCTTTTCTTTTGAATGGAGATAAGGTGTGGCCCCTTTCTGAACTGACCTAGAAGAATTAAACCCCTGGTGGGTAATGACTTACTCTGGTGTCTGAGTGGCTTTCTGTGTGAGGGGAAGCTCATGGTGAAATGAAGCCTTCTTTCTTGGTGGAGGCCTTGGTCACCTCAGGGTAGAATGGGAAGGAAATGGGGTTTGGCTGGAATTTGCTGCATGTGACTTGTTCCCTGTGCTTTGCCTCCTTAACTGACAACAGTCTTACTGCGTTATCTGCATATATTCAGCAGTGATTCCAATAGTTAGGTTACAACATAGGACCCAGTACTCATCTGCCTCTACAGCTCAGGACAAATCCCATGGTGCCTTGTGAGCTGCTTCCCTTCCTTCCTAGTTGTCTTGTCCTGCAACAGTATTTACTGTCTGCTGCCATATAAATAACATACCCCGGCTCTCATTTATTCATTCTTCATGTTTGTTTTTTGTGATATTAAATGTATCCTTGTGTATACACATGTATAAAATATAGATGTATGTACATGGAAAAGTAAACCAGATGGGTTAAAGATAAATCTATCTTTAACTTCTCTGAAAAATGAGGTACTGCAGAAAAACTATAATCTACAAGAGCATTGTAATTTGTAATCTGAACTTCCAAAGATGCATAGATTCCAATCTAGGTATTGCAAAGTAATTAATAATAATAAGTTTATGCCAGGAAATACACACTATTTAACGTCACACTGACAACCTTAAGACAGTAAGTACTTTGCAGGAGATCCAATAGTTAGTACTTAGCAGAACTGGAACTGGAATGTTATAATCTTTAAAGAATAAAATGGCCTTCAAAACCTGTGGTGCCCAAGAATCCCTTGCTTAAAAAGCAAGCTTTAGCTCACAGATAATCTCCTCTCTCTCTTTTTCCACAGACACAATTCCTTAGTCTTGTCCCTAGTTCTGCAACAGAACACCAACTGCAACCTCCTTTCCCCATTGCCCACAGTTCCTCTGGATCCCACAGACCATACCCGCCTAACACTCCCTGCCCCACACTCATCACTGTATCACAGGCCTCAACTGAAGCAGGCATTTCCTGCTCAACCACAAGCCACACTTGCCAGAAATCCAGATAGTCTTCCCACAGAACTTGCCCTCTCTTCTCTCTGTTCCACCATACCTAATCCCTCAAATTCATCCCTAGTGCTGCAACAGATCACCGATGCAGCCTTCCTTTCCCCTGTTCACATTTCCTGTGGATCCCACAGACCAACCCCTCCTTAAAATCCCTCCTCTACTATCATTGTATTGAAGCCTCCAACACCAGAAGGCATTCTCTATAAATACACCAACTGAGCAGGTCACAAAAGCAGGCAACACACAGCCATCACACTATTTGAAAATACAGGGAGGAAACAGAAACCAAGGAAGAAAACAACCACCAACAAGGACAAACACAGAAATCAGCCCCTATGCCTACAATCATCCCAAACCCAGATGCTTAGACACTAGAATAATGAAAAGTTTAGGAATTCAAATAGGAACAACAGAGACAAGCTTCACCAACATAATACAAAAAGTAAAAGTGAGACTCTCAGGTGTTAAATATAAGGAAAATAAATGGTTACAGAGGTAAAAGAAAATGTTAAATACAAAAAAATTCTTGACACAAACCATCCAGGAAACCTAGGATACTCAGAAAAGACTAAACATAAGCAGTAGAGGAGAGGTAGAAGAGTCCAAGCTCAAAAGCCCAAAAATATTTCAACAAAATCATAGAACAAAATTTTCCTAACCTAAAGGAGATATTAATACTGGTACAAGAAGCATACTGCAGAACCCCAAATAGACTGGACCAGAAAAAACTTCCCCTGGTCATATAATAATCAAAACAATAAACATACAGAACAAAGAATGAATGTTAAAAGCTGTAAGGGAAAACACCAAGTCCCATATAAAGGCAGACCTATTAGAATTACACCTGGCTTCTCAATGGAAACTCTGACAGCAAGAAGGGCCTGGACAGAAGCCAGCCCATACTAATATACCCAGAAAAATTTTCAACCACTATAGATGGATAAAATAAAATATTCCATGATAAGATCAAATTTTAGCAATATCTATCTACAAAAATCCTACAGAAGTTGCTAGGAGGAAGAGTCCAACCTAAAGAGTTTAACTGTATCTAAGAAAACACAGAGAATAAATAATCTCACACCAGCCAGAAAGTGGCAGAGCATGCCTTTAATCCCAGCATTGGGGGGGCCAGAGGCAGTGGATTCTCTGTGAGTTTGAAACTAGTCTGGTCTACAAGAGCTAGTTCCAGTACTGCCTCCAAAGCCACAGAGAAACCCTGTCTTGAAAAAACAAATAATAATAATAATAATAATAATAATAATAATAATCTCACACCAGCAAAACAAAAGAAGGCAAATACACACATGCAAATACACATACAAACCACCACAAAAAAACTCAAAAATTGCACTTCTGCCCACACTCAGGGTCGAGGCCAGAGGGGAGCACCAGGTTCCCACCTTAGACCCTAATTCCTCCAGCTTGCCCCCTCTCAGATCCCCTGGCTTGGGGACTGCAGCCAGGTCGACTCGCCCCTGGACAGACAACCAAGCAACCTGCAAAGAGAGGTGATCCACTTCTGCTCATACTCAGGGCAGAGGGCAGAGGCCAGAGAGCAGAGGCCAGAGAGTATTGGATTTGCATGCACCCATCAAAAGGGAACCCTGGTCACCTACAAACCAAGTAAGAGACTCTTTCTACACCCACTGGAGGAAGTGATGGGGAAGAGGCCATATAAGAACACACTCAGCAACAGGAAAAACCAATATGACAACACCAGAGTCTAGAGATTCTATAACAGTAAGAACTGAATACCTCAAAGCAAATGAAGCAGAAGGGAATGACCTTAAAAACACCTTCGTGAAAATGATAGAGGCCCTCAAAGAGGATATGAGAAAATCCCTTAAAGAAATGGAAGAAAAAATAAACCAAAAAATGCAATAAATATAAGAAAAAAAACACAAAAAATCCAAAAAAAATCAAGAAAGGGAAGCAAACATGAAGCAAAAATTACAAGAAACAATTCAAACAGTGCAAGGGTTGAAAACTGACATGGAGACAGAAAAAAAAAACAGTCTGAAGAAATGCTGGAAATAGAAAAACTGGTGAAATGGTCAGGTACTACAGATGCAAGCATAACTAACAGAATACCAGAGATGGGAGAGAGAATCTCAGGTGTTGAAGACACACTAAATGAAATAGATTCATCAATCAAAGAAAATCTTAAGTCCAACAAATCCCTAACACAAATATCCAGGAAATATGGGACTCCGTGAGAAGACCAAACTTAAGAATAACAGGTGTACAGAAAAAGGTGAAGAGACCTAACTCAAAGGGACAGAAAACATATTCAACAAAATCATAGAAGGAAACTTTCCCAACCTAAATAAAAACATGCCAATGAAGGTACAAGAAGCTTACAGAGCACCAAATAGAGTGGACCACAAAAAAGTCCCCTTGCCACATAAAAACCAAGAAAGAATTCTTAGAGCAGCTAAGGAAAAAGTCAAATAACATATAAAGGCAAACCTATCAGAATTACATCTGACTTCTCCATGGAAATTCCAAAAGCCAGAAGGTCCTGGATAGACATTCTGTCAACACTAAGAGACCACGGATGCCAGCCCAGACTACTAAACCCAGCAAAGCTTTCAATCACTGTAAATGGAGAAAACAAGATATTCCATGACAAAACCAGATTTAAACAACACAGAAAGTTCTGGAAGGAAAACTCCAGTCAAAGGAACTTAACTACAACCAGAAAAACATAGGCAACATATAATCCCACTTTACCAACACCCAAAAGAGAAAAGGGGTGGAAATCCACATACAATCCCACCAAGAACAACCATTTCAAAACAAACTAGAATGAGCAATCAAAGGTTATTAATATCCCTTAATATTAATGGTCTTAACTCACCCATAAAATGGCATAGACTAACAGAATGGATTCGAAGACAGACCCCATCCTTGTGCTGCATACAAGAAACACTCTTCAGCTTCAAAGACAAATGTTACCTCAGAGTTAAGGGTTGGGAAAAGATTTTCCAATCCAATGGTCCCAAGAAACAAGCAGGGTTAGCAACCCTAATACCTAACAAACTAGACTTTAAACTGAAATCAATCAAAACAGATGAAAGAGGTCATTTCATATTCATCAAAGGAAAAAAAATCCACCAAGATGAAATCTTGATTCTGAACATCTATGCCTCAGATGCAAAGGCATCCACATTTGAAAAAGAAACATTACTTAAACTCAAACCACACATAAAACCTCACACACTTATAGTGGGTGACGTCAACACCCCACTATCACCACTAGACAGGAGCACCACACAGAAAATTAGCAAAGACACAAAGGAACTAATAGAAGGTATGACCCAATTGGGTTTGACAGACATCTATAGACCATTCCATCCAAACACAAAAGAATATACCTTCTTCTCAGTGCCACATGGAACCTTCTCAAAAACTGATCACATACTTGGCAACATAGCAAAACTCAACAGGTACAAAAATTGGAATAACTCCATGTATGTTATCAGACCACCATGCTTTAAAGTTAGAGTTAAACAACAACACAAATTACAGAAACCCAAAAAACTCATGGAAATTGAATAACATGCAATTGCACCACCCCTGGGTCAAAGAAGAAATTAAAAAAGAAATTACAGACTTCCTAGAATTCAATGAGAATGAAGACACAACACACCCAAACTTATGGGACATTTTGAAATCAGTGCTAAGAGGAAAGTTCATAGCAGTAAGTGACCACATGAAGAAATTGGAGAATAGTTACGCTAAAGAATTAACAGCACAGCTGAAAGCTCTACAACACAAAAAAGCAAACTCACCCAGGAGAAGACACCAGGAAATAATCTAATTGGGGGCTGAATTCAATAAAGCAGAAACTAGGATCACAAT